TTTTTCAATAAAATAATATTTTTCATCATATCAATAATTTTTCCTTCTTTTTTAATCACACATTCTTCATCAATCTACTATTCCAAAATACATTCTTCCAAAATAATGTGGCTCAAACACACTCTTAGACACTCAAACTGGACAATTGTATAATGGATCTGTGTCAAGTGTAAAAGTGTTTATAAAGAAGGCAATATGAGAATACATTTTGTCACTACCGGGTGTGATAATGATTGTATTACATATTTTATTTACTAGTACATGATGCGACGAGATTTGATTGAATCAAAATCTGACCAACCAATTTTTTTAAAAAAAAAATCTTCAATTTCTTTTTGTCATTAACCCATATTAAATAAGCAGAATAATTTAAGTGGTGAAATATTTTTAACAATTTTAATTCAATTCATTGCCAACTGATCAATCTGTAAAAGAATTTGTAAATAATGATATATAACAATCATTTTCATTTTGATAATTAGCTGTTTTTTCAGAGATGCACAAGTTGTTGAAATTGACTCGCTATTTGTCAATTCAATTAACTATGATCATAATGGACTAAGATATTTCCATAATGCATTTAATTCTATTGAATTTATCTTCCTTGGCAAATACTATATCATCAACAAAACCAATCAATTACTTAAAAAAAAAAAAAGATAATTTAAATTTTTTTGATGAAATTCGATGATAATATTAAAAATATTATAAAAAATAGTTTTACAATCGATAGATGAAGCAATAAAAATATAAAATAATTACGATAAGAAGCTAGGCTAAATCGAGTATCACAACTCTAGTCTTTGACATACATTCTTATAAGTAATTGGAAATAGAAATATCGAAAATGATAAATAGTAATACCATCGACGATTACCAACAAAAATCAATATTCATTGCAATTTTCACACACAGAAACAAACTATTATTATTATTATTATTATTATTATTATTATTATTATGTAGTTATTTAGAGCTTGTTTGTTAGAAATTAAAATTGGATTAAAATTGAAAAATTAACCATTATTGTTGACTTTTATTAGACGAGTGGATTCAATAAACGATTATATTTTCAATTTTAATTGGATTAAAATAATTTCCAAACAAGCTCTTATTTATGGTGGATACGTAGAAAGGGAAATTGTTACCATAACAAAACCATTGATCGCAGCCCACAGCCCTGACTTCAACCGCCCACTGTCTCCCATTTCCTGCGCTCCTTTCCACGCACAAATCCACTCTTTTTTGTGCACACAAACGAACAAATATTCTTGACGCTACGTTTCATCGCATAATCTGAAGTTGTGTGTCAAAATCACAAAATCTGTAAAATGTCAGTTTCCGGGGATCATTCCAATTCTGTTTTCGCCAATGTTGTTCAAGCTCCTGAAGATCCCATTTTAGGGGTACTTTATCTTCGTTTTTAAGATCACATAATAGTTTGTCTCGATTTTGAAGAATTCTATTTAATGTGCATAAATTCGGACAAAATGGGTTTGGGTATTTATATTGTTTGTTTTGAGATTTTTTTTTTACTATTTACCAAGCCTTTGATACCTATTTGATGTTGTTTTACGGGAATAGGAATTTTATGCTTGCTGTGTTGCTTTTGGGTTGTTTGTTGATTTCTTCTGATGAAAAACAGGTCACTGTTGCTTATAACAAAGATCCAAGCCCAGATAAGTTGAATTTGGGCGTTGGTGCTTATCGTACTGAGGTCAGTATCGTTCCTTCCTGAGATAATTACCTGCATATAAAGATAGAAAAACAAGGCTTTTGAAAAAGATGATCGTAAGGATATATAATCAGGATTTGTTAATTTATGTGGTGGCGATATAATTCTTGAAAAAGCTTCAGGTAGTCTGATGCAAAATGTTTGTTTGATCTGCTTATGGTAAATTGCAGGAAGGTAAACCTCTTGTTCTTAATGTGGTGAGAAAAGCAGAGCAACTGCTTGTTAATGATCCGTAAGTTGTAGTAATTTATGCTGTTGCCTATTTGACTATGTTTGTCGCAATTTCAGGTTATACAAATTCTAATATCACATTTTCATGTGGTACAGATCACGCGTAAAAGAGTATCTTCCAATTACGGGGCTAGCTGATTTCAACAAATTGAGTGCCAAGCTTATTTTTGGTGCTGATAGGTAAAGAGAGATGCATTTTAGTTGCAGTTATAAATTATTGAGTTGAAAGTGGACTCGAATTTAGCGTAAAGAAGCCTTTATAATCTGTGTAATATTTTCCCTGTGCATTGCATCAGACTCGATAAATTTTCCTACAATTTCTATCTACAGTTTTAGCTGAGCTTGAACTATGTTTTTATTGCACGGTAAAGTACATGGAAATGTAGAAAATTTCACAATCATAAATAAATTCTTCATTTTTAGGCAATTAGAAATTCCTAGTAAATTGTCAAACAATATTCTCCAGTTCTTTGGTCAATTTGCAAGGAACCGAACTGTTTTCCATTTCCAGTTAAAGTGGAGGGAAAAATGCCTCGATTACATTATTCCTTATTTTTTGAATGGTCTTATACCCTTTTTCCATCAACAAATACTTATTTCATTTTCCCCTTTTCTTTAAAATTTTCAAAGCCCTAATCCCATTTCATTGCCCCCCCCCCCCCCCCCCCGGTCTCTCTCTCTCATCTGCATAACTGAAAAGAATCTTGTTCACTCAAGCAACCTGTGGTTTATGTTTGGTTATGACGAAAATTGAAGTTAATCTTGCTCTGAAGTTATCTGTATGTTGTTTTTAGATTGATTCATAGCCTTTTTGACTTTTGATACAGTGTTGCTATTCAAGAGAATAGAGTGACTACTGTCCAGTGCTTGTCTGGCACTGGTTCATTAAGGGTTGGAGGAGAATTTTTGGCGCGGCATTATCATGAAGTATGTAGCTGGTTTTGAACTACATTCATGTCTTAAACTAAACAACATTTGAGGCTTGTCGATTTATTTGTTTAAAATTCCTTGCCAGCGCACTATATACATCCCGCAGCCCACATGGGGAAACCATCCTAAAGTTTTTACTTTAGCAGGGTTGTCTGTCAAGACTTATCGCTACTATAACCCAAATACACGAGGCTTGGATTTTGAAGGTTTTGGACTCTATTATTCATAAGCCTTTTCTTTCAGTTATAGAAATACCTTATTCTGGATTATTGTCTTGCTATGAATCTAGAAATTATTTTTGTATTACCAATATCTCATGGTATCTTAATATTGCTTGTCAGATCTACTAAACGAAATCTGATTGATGACTGATATCTTAAATCATCCATGTATCTCAATGACATGCTAGCAGCCTAATACTGGAGGGACATTTATGTAATTTGAAGTGTAAGATAGATAGAATGACTTTCTCTTGATGCTGCCTTCAAATGCAGGGCTATTGGAGGATCTTGGGAATGCCCCAACTGGAGCAATAGTTCTTCTTCATGCATGTGCCCATAATCCAACAGGTGTAGACCCTACTTCCGATCAGTGGGAGCATATAAGGCTATTGATGAGATCTAAAGGATTGTTACCCTTTTTTGACAGTGCTTATCAGGTAGGAGCTGCTAATTGGATGTAGATATACTATTTCTAAATAGCTACTGACTTCTGTTCAGACGTATATCCTTTTGTTAATTAGAATGCTGATCATGTTACTTAAATAACCAGTTGGAATGGTACCTTGGATTTAATTTACATATTCTTGGCATTATAGGGCTTTGCTAGTGGGAGCCTTGATGCAGATGCATCGTCAGTTCGAATATTTGTTGCAGATGGAGGTGAATGCCTTGCAGCACAGAGTTATGCGAAAAACATGGGACTTTACGGTGAACGTGTTGGTGCACTTAGCATTGTGAGTCATAGCTAGTTGTGCCATTTTAATTGACACGTCTTTAAAAAAGTGAAGTACTATAGAATCAGTGGTTCTTGGAAATTTGAGTGAAAGGTAAGCCAAAAAAAATGTATACCCCTGCACAGTAATGCTTGAAGCATCTGGCTATATCTTGTTGGAGCTTCTATTTGGCTGGTTTGGGTGGTGTTTTTGGGCATGTGGTGTCTGGAGAAGGAATATATCTTCATCCCCACTAGCTGGGGGTTGTGTTTAACTGAGATGAGAATGTGTCAGTTCTCTTATGATGAGATTGACCTAGGATATACATTTATCGTAATTGTACGTCAATTACAACACCACCTTTTATTGATTCATCTATTACTTGATAAAACACTTCCTGCCAAAAATGCCATAAAAGTTCCAGTGTTGTTTAAGACAGTACTTAATAATCTGAGAATAAATGCTTTGGTCTGGAAGTCCAAATAAGTGATTTATATTGAAATTCACTGACAATGCTTTGCAATGATTCACATCAATGACTTTGTCTCTTTTCACTTTTCCTGGGGGTGGGTGTCAAGGGGCTTGTGGAAGGGAAGAACAGGAGACTGTGCTTATATGCCCACGACTTGAAGTTCTAATGAACTTATTTGGTGCTGACTGCTGTAAGTTAAATCTTATGATCAATATTATAATTTACAGGTATGCAAAACTGCAGAGGTGGCAAGCAGGGTCGAAAGCCAGCTAAAACTGGTCATCAGGCCTATGTACTCTAATCCACCTATTCACGGTGCATCAATTGTGGCTACTGTACTCAAAGATAGGTGTGGAGGCTGTTCAATGCTTTCATTATGGATGTACTTTTCTCAGATACTATTCATGTGGTATCACGTGATATGAAATCCGATTGTTTTTTTTAGACTATCCCATAAGTCCTTAGCTCTTGAAACATTTAATTATAGGGGCATGTATGATGAATGGACTATCGAGCTGAAAGCAATGGCTGATAGAATTATCAGCATGCGCAAGGAACTTTTTGATGCTTTGCAAGCTAGAGGTAAGACATCTGGATTGTCTAGTTCATTTGAGGATGCAATTTGTATATGCTTGTTATCACTAGTATTCTTAGTTTGTAGTCTATGCCCAGAAAAATTAGGCTTATATTTTAGTTGAAAGTGGAACAGGTTTAGTATCCATTATTCAATTCTAAATTGTTTTTTGTGTAGAAAGAAAAATTGTCTAGGGATATTCTTGTATTGACTTTAATCTCTGACTTGAGGATCCTTAAACATCATTTTTATGTGATTGTGAATATGGAAAGTTGGAAAGATTCATAATTTGGTTCATTGCATCTGACACAATTATAATCCAAGGATTTCTGCCTCATTTCTTTTTCTTTTTTGTTTATCTATTGATATTGGTAGTTTCCTTCTGTAGTTTCTAAAAGTTGAATGCTATCAATTTATTGGACAATTTTCCCGTGATTTGGCAGGCACTCCAGGTGACTGGAGTCATATTCTGAAGCAAATCGGGATGTTCACATTTACTGGGTTGAATGCTGATCAAGTTGCCTTCATGAGGAAAGAGTACCACATATACATGACATCTGACGGGTAAGAAAATATTCTGGATCTCCTATGTTCGATGAAACTTACTTGAATTTTAAGGTTGAAGATTTCTTTTTCTGGACGTGAATACATTTCATCTTGGAACTCAGTTGAAAGATTGAGTTTTATTTTGCATATATGAATTGTAGGTTTCCTGTTGAAAAGTTGCCAAAGTAGTTTGCCTTGTGCTAGAGCAATTTTTTTAAAATTATAATGAAAAGGAAAAGGAAAAGGAAAATGGTAAAACTCCTCTGGAGAAAGCCAAATACGATTTCAATTCCTGTGTACTGCTCCACTTTTATTTATTTATTTATTTTTGTTGTCTACAAATCCATCTCCCTTACTCTTTCCTTCCACCTGTCGGAAAATCCTAATTTGCTGAAGCAAAGCGATTTTCTTATCTGATTCTTGCTCTCATCATTTGCTTATGTGTATCAATACGTGATTTTTAAATGCCAACCAGAAAAATAGAAAAGATTATGTTTCCAGCCTCCAAAAAGGAATAATAAAGAATAAGACAATTTCGAGATATTCCCAAAATCACCTTTTCTTCAAGAACTATAATTCCTTTTTCCAGTGTAGCATGAATATGATGAATTATTTACAAAATCAAGGCTGATAAAGAACAAAAAACTTTCTTTCTACTTGAAATCATATACATGAACAATATGAAATTACTAGGTATAAAATTTTGAATATGATCTGATAATATATAACATAAGTGACCTAAGAAAATTATAATTCAATTATCTTATCTAAATTTTTTGAAATAAATTAATAATCCAAGTTTTATATAACTCCCTGTTTTCTTATCTGTGAAAATCTTATTTCATCCGTGATTGATTTCTGTATAGAGATTAGCCCTTAATCTGTTCTAAATATAATTTTGTTGGGATAAAATTTAAAATTATATTTGAAGGTTAGTGCAGGTATTGGTTGAATTGTAATTTGAAATTAATTCGGCAGTGGATGGTGGCAATGATTTAGGTTTGGGTTGATAAGGATGGCATTTTTCTTTTTCCCACTTTGATATATGGACGGAGCTTATACAATTTAAGACAGCAAAAACCCACTAACTGAATGATCAAGCTATTATGTGCCACTTAGGTCATGTGGAGAAGGTGGTGTGCCTATTTGACAAGTTGCCAATATTTGTATACCAAAATGATTTATGCTCAATATGTCTTTACTGATGGCTATTTAATATGGCAGTACTGTTTGTCTTGCATATCCTCCTTTTTGTGGAGGTTTTAAGTAAACTAAAAGGGTAGCGATATCAAAAGGTTCATGGTAAAAAATGGGCAAAAATTTGTAGTTTAAAAAGTAGAAAAATTAAAACAAAAAGGTCATTATGCTCTTTTCACCTTGAGTCTTGACAATTAACATGACTTGTGGATCCTGACTGTTTCCTTTTCCTCTCTCTCCATTATTTGCAGGAGGATTAGCATGGCAGGTCTTAGTTCTCGGACCGTCCCTCATCTTGCAGATGCAATACATGCTGCTATTTCCAATGTAGCATAAGATGACGCATAATACGCTCCATGCATGCAACTTTTAGCTTCAGTATGGCATGATTTTGTTTAATAAGAATAATCTGAAATGGAATTTGGCTATTTTAGCATGACCTTGGATTGATGTGGCTTTCGTCCCATTCTGTTTCTCTTTGAGATGGCAAACTACAAGAAACTTGTTACATTCCGTCCCATTCTGTTTCTCTTTGAGATGGCAAACTACAAGAAACTTGTTACATTCCGTAGTACCGATGCTTGCTATTTGAGATGAATGTTGTCTATCTTTCTAACTATTAATGAATTGTTTCCTTTTTAAATGTTCTGTTATTGAAATTGCCTTCTAATTTGGATCCACAAATCTTGTTTCGCATAGGCTACTAAATAACATAATAACTGCGTTTCGGTACTTAATTGACGCCCTCCATTCCCTGTTTGTGGCTCAAACTGAATTCAGATGAGCATTCACACATACAAGTTTTGTATATATTCTTCACAATAGTTTAGGAAGATGTAAGATATTGTCAAGCGAAACCATTAGAAGATTTTTCATTATAAGAATGTTAGAGATGTTGGTGGAAAGTTTGGAGGGTGTCTTTCCATTAGAAGATTTTTCATTATAAGAATGTTATAGATGTTGGTGGAAAGTTTGGAGGGTGTCTTTCCATCGTATGATATAATAGATATTCACCGTCCATTTGGTGAGGTGGTGTATATAAATCATATGATCTTCATCGTCCAGTCGGTGTATAAAGGGGGCAAGCTAGGCTTTGCTTAAATCTGAATTGGTGTATACATGTGGGGTAGACTTAGCTTAAAAAATGAGATAATTATGATATTTGTGTTTTATGGTTCCCAAAAGGATTGAGTATAAGCGGGGGCGGAGCCAGAAATTTTTTTCAGTGCGGACACAATTTAATCGACGTTGAATTTTGAATTTTTGTCATGAATTTAATTATGATAAAAATATAAAACAATATTAATATGGGATAATTGTCTACATTAGTTTTCTTTGAAAGAATCTCTTCATTTCATATCTGGATTTAAACATTAGATATCAAATTACTAACTGAAAATAATTCAGAATCACAAAAACAAATTCACTAACACTAGAAGCAAAAGCAAAAGCTCAAAGCAATTCTCACTTTCAAATGGCAATTCACAATTTCACATAGCAATACTATAAGCAATTCACGGGCAATAATATTTCCAGAACTCATGCAATTCACACTTCAAAAATTATAGTGATAAGAGTAAGCAGTAGAACAATGCTACACATACATGATTTTAAAATCATGTACTTCCCAAACAACTCACAACATAGGTGGGTGGGGTGAGATTTTTATCAATATATTAATCATGTGCGGCCACTCCCATGTGAGACAACATTTGAATTCCTGTAAATATTCTACAATTTTTTGTCTGTACTAGAAGCTTTTTTCTAAGTAGTAACTCATCGTCATAGAGGCAGGCAGCAATACTGGAAGGATTCTGATAGTCGGTAGCCAAATCAATTGTACATCAATTCGTATGATGCAATGGGCTTCGAGCAATTGAAGAGCAAAGTGTTAATTTCAGCAGTTAAAAAGTAAATAATCAAACAAAAATCTCAATCAGAATCTGTATAAAAAACTTCTTAACATTACAACCCCAAGCAGTTTCACAAGAACTAATGAATGAAATCAAAATAAAATTACCATTTTTGAAACACGTATATTTATAGGGTTCATCTCATTGTGATATCTAAGCTCACTTGTTAAAAAAATTCAGTAAGATCGAGAATGAGAAGTTTATATGGAAGTCTCACTCTCACACACCAAGAAAAAATGACCCCATCAGTTTCTTTATATACTGCATAACAGCATAAGCTTTAGGTTCAAGGTTGAGGGTTTCATCTACTCACATTTTTCTTCTACTGCTGTCGATTTCGAAGAATCACTAGCACCCAATAGCCAGTGGTCGAGGTCACGACTCTCACAGATTCATCGTCTATGGCTTGAATAGGGACGAAGGTGAGTAGAGCAGCAACGGGTTCAGGTTGAGGAAGTGGGTAATGGACTAATGTGTATGGGTTAGGAGAAAGAGAGGAGCAACCGGCACTCAGAGTTGGATGTCGGGAGGCGGAGGTCAGATGCGGAAGATTTGGAATGAAATAGCTCCCATGGATTTTGAATTGAAATGAAATGGGCTATGCGTAAGCCTGATGGATTGCCGATATTGTGTTGGATCAAAAAGGTTTTGGGCCTCGCTTTTTGGCTAGACATTAGATGTCCATTTTAAAAAAAAAATTGGGGTGTTTTTGGTTGGGCCCAAAAGTTCAGTGCAGGCATGTGCATGCACTGGACCTCATTGGGCTCCGCCCTTGAGTATAAGACAAATTAGTGATAATTTTTTTTTGATCTCATCGTATACTATCAAGTTCTTAAAGGGATCTATACATACATATTTATTTACTCAGAGCTAATTATTATTACATAATTGAAAAGCATGATAATTAAGAAAAATGTATCAAGAATAAGAAACAAAATTCTTACCTTTCAAATTTTTTGAAGGAAAGTCAATAGACTTTATTGACCTCCTTGAAGATTCATCTTGCAGTGGCTTCTATTAGTCTTGCTTTCCAAAAATTTACGGGAAAAGACATCTATGTAATGAGCAAATTCTGGACTTCAAATCAACTCTTTACTTCAGAAAAATGGATACGTTGCATATATACATACATATATTATCGGTTCCAAGTAAATACTCAAGAGTTGCAACCATCCAAAAATTGGTTTCAAGTGAAGGCACAGTATCCAATTTGGCTTACAAAGTTGTTCATGAAGTGATCCAGTGTTTTATGGATCGTCTCAAACCTTCTGATATTTACTTATCTCCAAGATATAGAGAGATACATACGAAAGGTTTACAACCTATGTTTTTCTTTAAATCCCTTTTTTTTCACTCAGATAGTATTATCAATCATATCAATAACGAGAAAATGAAAGCATGTTCATACTATTCAATTTTAAGTATTAATTGATGATTCGGGTGTCCAACATAATCGCAGTAGAATTTGGGCGCCTAGCATAATCTGAGGTACCATTGTTGACAAGTAAGGTATGATCCCATAAGATGAAGAGCTTGTGTTGAAAAGGAAAGATTCAGTTAACTTTATCAACTTCATTAATTATAATCTTAAGAAGCCTATACACTTTCACCAACACTCACACTCTTACCTCTCCTCTTATTTAGCTTTACCACATGAAATGTTTATTTCAACAAAAAGAGTTCTAGCGGCTGTGATCTCGCTCAACTCTTTTCTATGCAAAAATAGTATCAAATGGAAACCATGTTATATGAGTATTAATGTGCAAGAATATTAACTGGAACAATTTTTCTATATTCCACATCCACGTTCAGATTTTGGTCCGTCCGCTACTAAGAATTCAACTAAAACTCATAGCTTCTAAAATGACAATAAACATAAAACTAACTGTCGAACCTGGAAAATGAATCTCCATGTTGCCTACAGAAAGCAACTCCACGTATGCTCTTCCGTGCACGCTTGACACAAATGTTCAGCCGCTCGTAGCCATTCCCAGCTGTGGTGGTAGCGACCATGAACACTCCAACGATCAAGTCAGTCGATGATAATTACATACAACTAATTCTGATAGTGGTAACCAACGGAATTTCTGTAATATCTCGAGGGGAGGAAAATAGTGAATTCTTAATAGTGAAGTCATGTTACCTTACAAAGGAACAAATCATAGGTGATTATAGAGAAAGGGGTAAAAAAAGGACTGTTGGATGGAAGACACATGGCTTCATCTACTGGTCTGAAGTGTCTCTTCATAGACGTCTATCTATTACATCATAGGTGGGCGAACATTTAATATTTCCTGATACATGGATTCGAATTGATGTCTACTGCAAATATGTTACATCCATCATTCAAAAAAATTTATATTGGACAAATCTTTGTACAAAATATTTGTTTCTCATGCCAAAGCAATGACTTCCATCAGCAGATGTGTTTTTTAGCCACGTGGCCTGTCGACGTAAACCTATTCACTTCGGATATTAACTTAGGGTATTATGCGACTTGTATGTTCTAGGCGCCTCGACACCTCGGAGTGTGGGCCTTATTTTGACCGAAGACTCGTTATCATTGGCGTAACAATAGTCTCTGTAGTCCATCTATGAATAATTAAATAATGCGTGAACTTTATGTTGGATAAACTGGATTTTTTTAACAAATTTGAATTTTGGATGCTCATGTCACTTCCCCAAGTCCAAGCATGAATATTCATATAATGTTTTGAATTACGTATGGTTGGTGTAGCAGAGAAGGTGTCCTTACTGAGGGACGAGACTCTGGAAAGTGACAGCTTTGATAAAGCTGGCGTGGCAGAGGCGATGTTCTAACTGGAGGACGAGGCTATGGAAGGTAGCAACTTTGATGAGCTGGCATGGTAGATGCGATGTCCTAACTTGAGGAAAGAGCATTGGAAGGTAGCAGCTTTGATAAAAGCTAGCATGATAGAGGTGATGTGCTAACTAGAGGATGAGGCTCTGGAAGGTAGCAGCTATGATAAGATGGCGTGGCAGATGCAATGTCCTAGTTGGAGGACGAAGCTTTGGAAGGTAGAGAATTTGATAAGTTGGCGTAGCAGAGGCGATGTCCTAGTTGGAGAAAGAGTCTCTGGAAGATAGCAGCTTTGATAAAAACTGGAGTGACAGATGTAATGTCCTAGTTGGAGGATGAGACTCTAGAAGGTATCAGCTTTGATAAAAGTCGGCATGACAGAGGCGATGTCCTAGCTGGAGAATGAGGCTCTGGAATGTAGTAGCTTTGATAAGCAGGCGTGGCAGAGGCAATGCCCTAGCTAGATGACGAGGTTCTAGGAGATAGCAGCTTTAATAAAAGATGGCGTGGAAGAGGCGATGTCCTAACTAGAAGATGAGGCTCTAGAAGGTAGCATCTTTGATAAACTAGCATGGCAGAGGCGATATCCTAGTTGGAGGACAAGGGTCTGGAAGATAGCAGCTTTGATAAGTTGACTTTCTCGTCGAACATCATATTTATCAATCTTTGATATGTAGCCCCAACATTTTTCAATCCAAAGAACATCACCTTGTAGTAATATAAACCCCTATTTGTAATAAATGAGGTGTCATCTTCGTCTACTGAGAAATGGAGATTTGATTGTAGCCTGAATAGGCGTCCATGAAGCCCAATAGCTTATGCCTTGCTGTAGAGTCTACCAACTGGTCTATCCTTGGGAGTGCGAAGCCATCCTTTGGGAAAACTTGGTTTAAGTTAGAGAAATCGATGTACGTTCTCCATTTACCATTTGGCATGTTTACTAATACGAGGTTGGAGATCTACTTCGAATAAGTGGCATCTCGAATAAAACTGTAAGCCATATTTTCGACTTCCTCCCTGAGTGTCTTATACTTTTCTGGGTTAAGGGCTCGCCTTTTTTGTACGCGTGAAGCATGCCTTGGATTAACATTTAAATGATGGTAACTGACATTTTGGTCTATTCCCACCATGTCTTCATGCTTCCATGCAAAGATGTTCAAGTTCCTTTGTAGAAAACTCTTAAGCTCCCTATTTCCCTCGTGAGGCAGGTCCCTTCCCACTCGTCAGGCCTTGGTAGGGTCCTTAGGATTTACAAGAAAACTTTCCAATTCTTCCATTGGAGCCATTTGAAACTCAAATTCATTAATGTGAGGATCCCATTCATCATGAGGGACCCCTTCTTCAAGGGCTTCTGCCATTTCGATGTCTTCTTCTTGTTTAGGGATATACCCTTCTTTAGGGATGTCAAACATTTCAATATCTACAATCAGTACATTTGCACTACGGGGCTCTGCCTTTCTTAAGGAGTTAAGGTAGCATTCCCGTGGCCTCATTTGGTTGCCTTGGACCGTGGTGATACATTGTTCAGTAGGAAACTTCATGCACAAGTGGTGAATTGAGGTAACAGCTTATAACTCCTTTAAGGCGAGTCTGCCTAACATCCCATGGTAAGCAAATTGTGATCCATTACTAGGAATTCCATGAAGTGGTGAGCCACCAAAGGGGGTGTGCCCATTTTGACGCTAAAGTGATTCTTCATCTTGTGATAATGTTGTTACCTATGAATCTATATATAGACTCGTTTATGGGGGTAAGCTCGTGATCCACAAGTATCTAGTCATAGGTGGATCCAAACAATATGTTTACCGAACTCCCATTGTCAACGAGCATATGTTTCAACCCATTGCAGGCTACGATAACTTTTACTACTATTGGGAATGGTTGACGATGTAACTAGCATAGTTTTTCTGCTTGTTTCGGGAATTACCTCTTACACGGGTTCTTCCAATAATCGTGTCGATCTCTAGAATAAGTGCATTTTTCGCTGTGGGAAATTGATCTTTCCTCTGCCTATGTCCACCTTAGGGCCTATCTTTGTCCTCATCTCTCACTCGTCAAGTTGAGTGTTCTCTCATGGGTCACCTCGCATCCATCTTCAAGAGAGACTTGTCATGACGAGTTATCTTGGAGATGACCTACTCTCTTCGTGTTGCGAGATTACTCCTTTATATAGATCGAGGCGTGTCTCTACATTCACTTGTATCATGGCCATAGAATCAGTGGAATGTACAATAGGGTTGCACCTCAACCATAGGCCTATTCCTAGACTATCTTTTCCTTCCTCTGTTCTTGGACTTGAAGGGTTTTCTTGATGTTCTAGCTTCGATATTGGCACTTGGCCCACCATTTTCATAAACGAGTGTTGGTACCATGTTTAATATAGTTGTTGCCAAGGCTTGTCCCGAAATAAGGGCCACGACATGTCCAGCTTGAGTCCACTATTGACTTACCGATGCAAAATGGGGCATCTTCCCATTTGCCTTTGGGGTGGCGGGAGCCGCTATGCTGCCCGATTCTAATGATCAATCATTTCTTCATTGACGGTCTCAACCCTCATCATTTCCACCAGTTTGCCATAAGTGTTGAGGTTCTTGTTCCTCACATCCCTCTAAAACAGGGTATTCATATTTAGGCCTTCATTTAGGGTTGAAAGGGCCCCTTTATTAGTAACTTGCTCATAGTAAGTTATCTTATCGGTGAAACGGGGCACATAATTCTTCAATGTTTCTTCTGCAGCTTGTTTCATATCTTTGAGGCGCTGAATAGAAGCCTCCCCATCTTTCTTGGACGAGTATTAGTTCAAAAATGCCTTATTCAAATCAGGCTAGCTACAAATGCTCGGTGGTAGTAACCTGCTATACCAGACCTTGGTTGTTCCGCTTAAGGTTAAGTGAAAAGCTCTACATTTCAATGCCGACGAAGTTCTCCTCAAGTTCATCTATGTTTTGGACTTATTGGGGTGCTTTCCATGTCCCTTTTTCCTTCATACTTTGGGATCTTTGGAGGCACAAAGTTAGGGGGTATTGGAAAGTTGTGAAGCTCTCGAAAAAAGGGGAGATTGCCATCGTTATCATCAAGCTCGAAAGATCGATATGGTCCTTCAGAGTTGTTCCTGTTCGTCTCGTGTTAAGGCTAGGGTTGGGATGTCCACCATCGATTTTCCCAATCTACTAAGTTTCGCCTCTTCCTCCTACTCCTAGGAGGGGGAGCATGAGTCCCTTGGCTTTGCATTTGTTTCTGTTAAACCATTTCATGTATATACTGGCTCCTATTCCTTGGGTTTCGTCCCATTTTGTTGAACACGTTGATAGACCTCTAGAGCTCATAATCTGGAAGGAAGTTATCCTCTCCTAGCTGGGGTCGCTGGAAAGGGGCCCCACAGTATAGGACGAGACATCTACCCTTACTTTCCTTTCCTCAGGCGCTTCTCTCATCTGCCAACTAGAATACCTTATTTAACTTTACACTTCTTCCTGGCGTTGACCATGGGTTGTCTAGGGCCTATTCTGAGGCACTTGAAAATCCTTCTAACCCTGAACTTACATTAGGATGTTAAGGCCTCTAATAAGTGACATTGGCTTTGATGATCTCTTCTTCAGAGGCCTCCCTCACTCTTCTAGGTTTAACATCTTCATTACTTGAACACATTAGCTCAGCTTGTAGATTCCTTTTAGTAATCTAGATTAACGATTGGATTCCAGCAAACTTTCACTTGTTCTTTGTTCAAGAACAAAATATTTCTTCAAGGGGAAAGTTTTGCTTTTCCAATGAGCTTTTCCGGCGTCAATGAGCTTTTCCGGCTTCAATAAGCAGCAGTGCGGATTTCCCACAAATAGCGTCAATCTGTTGACCTTAGAAAATGGATCTCTACGTGGCCTACAGAAAGCAACTCTACATATGCTTCTCTCTGCACACTTGACACAAATCGTCGCTGCTCGTGGCCATTCCCAGCGGTCGTGATGGTAGTGGCCACGAACACTCAGGCGATCATGTCAATAGACGATAATTGTAAACAACTAATTCCGATAGTGGGAACCGCCAAATTTTCTATAATATCTCAAGGGGAGAGAAACAATGAATTCTTAAGAGTGAAGTTACGTTACCCTACAAAGGTACAAAACATGGGTATTTATAGAAGAAGGGGTGAAAAAAGGACTGTTGGATGGAAGACACGTGGCTTCATCTGCTTGTCCGAAGTGTCTTTTCGTAGACGTCCATCTATCACTCCATAAGTGGAAGGACATTTAATGTTTCGTAACACATTCGAATTGACACATTGGCATCTGTTGCAAAGATGTCACATTCATCATTTAAAATATTTTATTTTGAAAAGGTCTTTGTACAAAAGATCAGTATCTCACACTGAAACATTGACTTTCATCAGCAGGTGTGTCTTCTAATCACACAGCTTGGTCTTCGTTCACGAGACCCCATTCACTTCGAATATTGACTTTTGCTATTATGCGACTTGTCATGTTCTAGGCGCCTCGAAGTGTGGGCCTCATTTTGACTGGAGACTCGTTATCAGAGGCATAACATTAACTATGTTAATATAAAATGAATCATGCTACAAGAACCAAATTTTTTTACCGAATCTTTTACACACTACTCACAATGGGGGTGGGGACTACATTGTCGAAATTTTAAATACACGCGGGCCCCGTGCATTATGTGAGAGGGGATAATCCATTATGTACAACCATTATGTAAAGATGGATTAACCCATATAAAATTACATAATAAACCATTGACAACCCAAATTCAATTTCAGTAACCCCACCAACACCACCTTTAGGAAATAAATAGCCATAACAATTAATACGTCAACAACTTGTTCATTTTTTGAAAAAATAATACTAATCTTTGTTGCTTCAATATGGATGTACATTGCTCCGGAAAGGATTATTGATATTAGTGTCTGATTACTTATGCAATTAGGACTTGTGTTGCTCCATTCCTCCGAAAACGTGGAACTCTAATATGTTAATTGAAGAGGATGTAAGTAAATGAAAGGTTGAAATGTTGAAAGGAGTAAAAAATAGAAATTGTAGTGGGACGTGTTTTTGAAGCTAATTAATGCGACTTAAGCATGACCCTGAAACATGTTAACGAAACGGTTTAGTATTACTAGCAGATTTCTTACAATTGACTTAACTGATACTAATGTCAAGATTAAGATAAGTGGTATCAAGAGTATCAGTCAGTGCCAGAAAAATCATTTTGCATGGGCAAATTGGATGGTAGTCAGGCATGCTCATGCACCCCTTTCCACAACAGGCACGAACGGCAAGTCAAATATATACAAACTCAATTGACACCTCGAAGGGTCATCTTGGTGGAGACTCTACTACTTTTTGCTCATATTTTCTTTCTTACATCTGTCTCGCACCACTTGGCCTTGTTTCTGATTCCTTCGCTTCTCCGTATGTTTCCCCATTAATGGCGAGACGTTGGACTTCTTAGCCCACCCGTTTCAATTCTATCAATATACGAAAACTTCTTGATGTTGATATTAGAAGGTTTAGTCATGATCTTTTCTTCTTCTTCTTCCTTTACAAAAGAATCTATATTACCAGTTGAATAATTATTTTTAATATTCGTGTTTTGTGAAGGCTCTAAGTTCCAACCCATGAAATCAGACAGTGTCATTGAAGTCGGTGTCTCTGCAGCTGAACTCAATTTCTCAGTCTCTTGACTTGGAAAGCTGCTCAACGTTGGTGACGTCGTGGTGGTGTCCATTGAAGGCTTCCATGTAACTACTGCCAGTGTTGGATCTTGAGCCAATGAATCTGCATAAAGAACATCCTCAATACGCGACATCACTGTGTTGGCCAAGCTTTCAAGTACCCTTGAATAGCTCTCCAAGATGGAATGGCCTACATCCTAGAGGGTCAGGAGAAAATCGTACATTATTATAAAAGCAAGCCGATCACACCAATTCTAACTCAGTGGCTTGCCAAATATTGAAAGAACGAAATAAGAATTAATCACTCGTACCCTGTTATATTGGATTTTACTTATGTCAAGTGATGATTGAGGTATTCCTGGGTACTGATGTTTGAGTAGGAGTAAGATTGTTTCAGCTCGTTCTTCAAAGAGCTCCCTTTTCTCCAAACTCACAGCAGAACCCCACCCAGATTTCCCATCCTTATGATTCATTTTCCTTTTCCATATCACAATAGATGCCTCGATTCTGTTCTTTAGGTCAAGAACTTTGTGCTCTGATGACAAGTCCATAGTTGAAAGGAATTGTTGAGGATCGAAGAACTCAACGGTAATGCTTTTGTAGATCAAATCACCGAGGCTTGATCTACCATTCTACAAAAACCACAATCTTGATTATTAAGTGAATGTTTGGAGATGAATAAAATCATTAGAGTTTGCTCGAAATCGCCTTATACCTTGGGGAGGGATTCAATATAGTTCTCAGGGATCTCCATATCTGATAGTATTTGAGCATTTATGGCCATGGATGCTTTCAACACTTGATTTACCGCTTCCTTTTGTTTTTGTAGAAATTGTCGCGATTCTTCAGATAATCCATTAGGAGGAACCTTGACCGTAGGTAGCCACCACTTTTCATTTCTTTGCACGCCTTTTTCAGAATCGTCTGCATCTTTTGACACATACCAAAATTCATGTTGGTCTACAAAGTTATCGAGTGTACCCTGTTAATTGTCATTCTTTCATAAGAATTCATAACAGATAGAATACACGAAACAACTTCATTTTTTAACGAATTCTTACAATTAACATCGCATCAAGCTTTCGCAATGCTGGAATGTTCATAAGGAGGTCCCTTCTTTGTTGTGTCACCATTATCTGCCAAAATCCAAACAACACGCACATTATCCCTTTCCTGCAACAGATCCGAGGGAAAAGTGTTGCTAAATTTATACCGTCCGTTATTTCATATGTGACGACAGGTTGAACCAAAGCAAAATACTTTTTTCTTACTAGGTGTGATCCATTGAACATAGATCCAATTTTTCAATTTTTTGGAATTCAATTTTCCTGTTCCTGGTGGTATCAAAACGTTGTTATGTCGAGGTATCTTATCAGCCTCTCCAAAAAATGGACATCTCTAGAACAGATTTTAAGTTCAATTCTTTTTTTTTTTGCTCTCTCTCCACTCGGACAAACCTGCCCACTCGGCTTCTTATATTTAAAGTAATTTGTATATCTACCCCATTGAGACTATTGTTCCATACCATTATGGAAGCTAAGGGGTTCAAATTTTGATCCTTTTTTATTGAGAAGAAAACAAAAACAAATTTTACCTCCATACTTGTTCCGTCCTTCGATTTCTGTTGAGAAGCAACAAATTCAACTATGTAATCTGTAAC